TATCAACTGCCTCTTTGTATTTTCCTGAGTCTTGTTGATGGTCTGAAATCTCTTCCCTTTCAAAAGTAATTTTAGTTTTGGGAAAAGCTAGAAGTCACAGAGCACCAAATCTGGGCTGTAGTGGGGCTGAATCACTTGGGTGATTTGATGTTTCACCAAAAAACTCTGCATGGGATGTATGTGTGAGCAGGTGAATTGTGATGAACCTGCGAATCACCAGTTGCCCATAGCTGCAGCCTCTGGAATCATCCAAATAGTTTCCATGGAGGATTAACGCAAAATCTGATGCAGATGACAGTGAGAGTAGACTTGCTGTCATTTTTGGTGTGATGGCCACACACTACACATGCTCACTCAATGGCATCTACCGCCCCCACTGACTAGTACAGTGAAGTCATCATTGTTCATGCATGTGCATTCCAGTTCACTCTCTTAACAATGGCTGGACTTTTTCTGGACAGGCCTTGTATAAGCAGCAGCTGACAGGATGCAAAGAGAAATGGACAAATCCCGCATCATCCTGGGGGATTTTAATACTCCTCTCTCAGTAATGATAGCTCATGGAGACACATATTAGAAAAGATACATAATATTTGGGCCAGAAAATTAAAACTCTTGACCTAATAAACACACATAGCACCCAATGCTTACAAATGAGAAGTTATACTGCTACATTCCTCTCACATTGGGATGTGAGGAACATTGGGGCATCTGTGAAAAAAGAGGCCACAAAGCCAGTCAGTACCAACTTTAAAGTCTGAATCAAATAGGCCACATCTTCTTGCCACACTGCCAATAAATTAGAAATGAATAGTAAAAACATATCTCCAAAAGCTCATACATTTAGAAATTAAAAACATACTGTAAATAACTCATGGGTCAAAAAGTAATTGTAATGGAAATGTATAATTCAATGATATTGAAAACACCACATAAAAAATGTATGGGAAATTTATTTGAAAAAGGAAAATGGAAAATTAATGAGCTAAGCTTTCAACTTGAGAATCACTTGGGTGATTCTTGAGAAGTTTGAAATAGTAGGATAGAATAAACCCAAACAACACAGAAGAGAGGAAATAACAATTAGAGCAGAACTGGTGAAATTGTAAATAAAATACAGTAGGCTCAACAACATCAAAAGATTTTTTTTTAAAAAAAGACAAAATAGAGGCAAACCTTAGGAAGAATGAACTAAGAAAAATATTAATTAAAAATGGCACATCTAAACATCATTAGGAACAATATGAATGTAACTACAGAAGTAGCAAGTACTTAGAATTAATAAGATAATACTATAGCCCTGGCCAGGTAGTTCAGTTGGTTACAGTGTTGTCCTGACATGCCAAGGTTTGATCCCCAGTCAGGGCACATACAATAATCAACCAATGAATGCATAAATAAGTGGAACAACAAATTGATGTTTGTCTCTCCCTCTCCCCCTCTGCTTCCCTCTCTCTTTCTCTCTTTCTCCTCCTCTCCCTTCCTCTCTCTTTCTTCAATCAGTGATTCAACCAGTAAATAGAGAAGGAAGATACCATAACTAACTTCATGTCAGTTGTTAGTTATCCCTCCAAGGAGGGACTTGTTGCCTCAGCCGGAGAGTACTGAGAGCCTCACCTATAGAAAGCCCTCTTCCCAGAGAGCCTGCCTTCCCCAGTTCACATCCAGTGCCAGTGTGGGTGGGGACATAATGCTCTAGTCATTTCGCCCACCTTGGAGCGGTTCTGAACATGTCGTATACACAGTGGTGTGCTTGTAAATGTTTAACACCTGGTTCTTTGTGGGGGGGGGGAGACGACCCTGATTTATAGTGTTTGCTGATTTCTGTGGTGTAAATATACTCCCAGTGGATGACTTCAAAGGCTTCAAAGTGATACCACGAGTGTGGAGTCAGAGAGAGATGCCCAATAGGACATTATTATACAGGGTGGGGCAAAAGTAGGTTTACAGTTGTGAGTATGCAAAATACAGTTTATTCTTATATTCTTACTTATTAATTATTATATTATCTTCCATATAAACCACTGTAATCCTGCTTTTGCCACCACACTGATATGCTAGTTATAAATAAAACTCAAAAGCAGATATTAATGTAGCAAAGTAATGGATGTGATTTGTTAACTTTGTTTTTAATATAATATATATATAAGTATAAGTTTATATAATCTTCAATTATGGCTGTACTTAAAACTGGCTCACAAAATGCCTAAAAATCACACAACTGGCACTCCCAAGCTGGTACTGCAGGCTCCGGCACACCACTCTGCATGTGCTCTAGAGCAACCCGGGGCTGGCTGGGGCTTTGTTGGGCTTGAATCACAACCCAGTTCTGCCTTCCATCCAATCCTGCTCTCCTTCTCTTCCCATAGGCATTGACCCCTCATAACATCCTGCTATGTGGTAAACCAGATGGTCTAAATGTTTGTGTTCCCCCAAATTCAGGTGTTGAAACCTAACCCCATAATGTGGTGGTAGGTATCAGGAGCTGGGGCCTTTGGGAGATGATTAGGTCCTGAGGGTAGAGCCCTCACGAACGGGATTATGCCCCAGAGAGCCCTTGCCCTTCCTGTCCTGTGGGTTACAATGAAAGGACAGTTGCGTAGGAAGCTGATATGTAGGGTAGTACAGGAGGGAGGAGGTTGGCATGTGGGTGAGGAGAGCCTTCCGGCTGCTGTGCTATGCTGACACCTGTGAGAGGAGAGGGAAGGGAGGAAGGTGGGGTAGGAAGAGCCTCAGGCTGCAGGGCAGTGCTAAGAACGCCTCGGCAGGGTGGTGGAGGGTTCTGGAACAAATGCTGCCCATTAGAGGGGTCAGGTGGAAATGGCCCAGCTCTGGTACTCCCACCATGCTCAGCCATGGGCTGGGAACAGCTGGGGGTGAGGGATGTGTGGCCCTGGTGTAAGCACCATGGTAGATCCAAAGGTATGACAGCTGGAGGCTGTCAGTTCTGTTTTCAAGAGTTGAGTGGTATGCCTCAGTGGCTGCCACAGAGACATGTGTCTCCACATTTTAAACAGAAGCGTTGGACCATCTTTGTACCATTTGCTTTGTAAATGTCCTGCTGCTTTCTGCCCATATTTACTGAAAGGGTAGAAGCATCAAGGAGAAGGTTGGTAGTGAGAATTAAAGGGTGCTGTGAGGAAGAGGAGGGAGTACCCAGCTACCTCATGCAAAGAAAGGGGTTCTTCTGGAGAACTCCTTGGGGAGCTTGGCGTGTATTGCCTGGGGTTGGGGATATACATGAGAACCTTCAAGGAGAGAGACTGGACAGAGCTGCCTGTGACCAGAAAACGAAGAGGGTGTACTACGGTGACAGTGACCTGCATGGACATGGTGGAAGGTGGCAGGGTCTGCCTGGCTCACCTGCCAGGGCACGGTGACTCTGCAGAGGGTCTCTGTGAGGTGGGCCACCAGAGGAGAAGCTGACCTGGAAGCAAGGACCAGTGCCTGGTACGGGGAACGTTTCCCACGCTGCCACCCTGTCTTCACAGAGCTAGCTGGGAGAATATAGAACAAGTAAGAAAAAGCGGACATTTTTATTCCCTGTGCAGGCTCTGAGCTTGGGTCAGGCTGGGAGCTGGCAGGGGTGGGAGGTGACCAGTGTGGGAGTTGGGTGGGGGAGACTTAAGTGGAGTGGGACTGACATTTTGATTAGGATTAGACTGGACTTTTTAATACCAGAGAATCAGACTGTTGATTAACACCTGAAAGTGACAGGAAAAGCTATGAAATCTGCCCTAGATTTTTCCAGCGGAGAAGGGAGATCTGATAGAATAATTTTAAAAGACAGTGGTTGGGGGGAAAAAGGTGTTGTTTCATGACTTCCTTTCACCAAGTAGTCCAGCTTGTTAAACAAAAATCAGCTAGTATAAAATATTGCTTAAAATGGTAGTTTGGAAAAAGACACCCTGCCCCTTAAAAAGCAACAGCACCTAGCAGTGCAAAGGACCAGCTTCCCCTGACTCCGGCTCTCTGCCCCCTTTCATTTTTATAACCACGTATATTTATTTCACTGCCCGGGAACTAGAGGCAGCAGAAGCTCTCTGAAGCTCCAAAGGTGTGACCGCTTGCCTTGTCACACCTCCTAGGCGCACTGCTTAGGGAAGCTGGAAGGGTCCTTGAGAAGCCATTCATGTATTTATTAATCAGAGCAGTCAAGGTTCTCCAGAACCCCTCGAAGAGTGTCAGGCACACTTGGTGCTTTAATGAACATAGACATAAACCTGATTTTAGGAAGAAATGCCCGCCTTTTCCACAAGCATTTCCAGATACCAATTCTGGGCTCCTCGTGAATCCAGAATCTTCCCGCCCTCCAAATTGTTCCCGCGGATGAACCCCAATTCCTTCTGCTCCTCCTAATTCACAGTTGCTCCCTGTTCTGCCGTAAGAGGAAAGAAGCAGCTACACTAGCTTCTGCCTCCTGACTTCCTCCTTCCCTCCCCTGGGGTCGTGGGGACCGTGGGGACCGTGGGGAACTGCCCTGGCGTAGCCAGGCCTGCCCTGCGTGGTGCCCATGGGCACACCCTGAGCTGCAGCAGCCGGCGCGCGCACCGCGGCCCGGTGGACGGCAGAGGGCGCTGCGGATTCCGGCGGCAGGCCGGCCGGCCGGCCCGCATGTCTTGGGGCCAGAGGAGGCACCGGGGCCCAGGGATGTGCGTCTCCCGGCGGCCGCGAGGGGCGCGCGCCACTGCCACCCGCGCCGGCGTCCCGCGGGGACCCGCTCGCCGCCCGGCGGCTGTCACCGCGGGCCGCACCTCAGGGGCTGCTCGGGCTGCACAGCGCGCTCCGTGATTGGGCTTCGGCGCTTCCCCGCGTCTTCCTTTTGTCCGGAAAAGGCAGCGGGAAGGGCAGTGCGGCAGCGAGGGCGGACAGCGCCCAGGCGTTCCAGCCCGCACCCCCGCGCGCGCATCCCCCGCTGCCTCGACGCTGGAGCGGGGTGGCGGCCTGGGCGGGGCCTGAGCCGGGAGTGCGGGCGCGGGGCGGGCGTGAGCGGGGCACGGCTGTGGCTAGGCAGCCGTAGGTGCGGGGGCGTCCCTTGCGCTTCCACCTGCGCCACCTCTACCAGCTTTTCTTGGCAACTTTATCGCCCCCCTTTGCGGACATCTCGTCTGGTCGGTGGAGTACAGACCTGTCGTTAAGTAGAAAACTAGAGCTGGACGAGGAGGCGGAGGAGGAGGGAGCGCGTCGGAGCCCGGTCCAGGGTGAGAATCTCATTGAGGCAGTGGTGGCTTCTTGGACATTTTTCGTGGCTCTTCTCCACCCAGGTGAGCGCATGCTTCCTCTGCACAGTCCGAGGGGGCCGGCCTGGGCTCTGGTCCAGCCTCCTAGAACCTGAGGGAAGACAGGTGCGGAGTTGGGGAGTGATTGCAACCGAGTCTGGCAGCGCGGTGTTTATTTGGCTTTGCTGTCACCGGGGTACTTGTTCTGGCCTGCCACATCTCCTGCCGGGCCGAGGTTTGCAGCTCATTTGGCACCTTGCGTGCTGCCAGGTTAAACATCCTCCGTCTTGGAAAGGATGGGTATCGACTCACTGCCTGCCCCCAGCTTTGGATAAATTGTTCCGTATCTTCGTCTTAATTTAGTCTGAATGTGTTTTATCCTTTGAGCTTTATAACGGTAAAGCAGCGAAGCGGGTTGCTTCATCCATTTTTTTTTCTCCATTCGGAGGCTGTGCACAGAAGGAATTTCAGGAACACAAGTGATGTTACTACCAGTCTATTTTAAATACAAACACGGAAAGAAGTGCTCTTGGCAGAATACCAACGGCGCCTTGTACTCTCTGTTATGCAAGGGCTTTAAAAATTATTCACTCATTGGTAAAGTTATAGACGTGATCATCAGACATTTCAGAGGTTGCAGATAAGCGAGAACCCTCATTTCTGCTCTAAACCAAAACTTTACTTGAGGATAAGCAGGGTCTTAGCTTAAGGTACCCTTTAAGACAACATAGGACCCTTGCTTTGAACTGATTAGGTGGCATTACATAACATTCAACAATAAAATAGGTTTTGTAAAGGCTACTAAGAAAGTTGGTGAAATTTCTTTGATTATAAAGTAATAAAAAGGATCCCACGGGGATTTCAAATTATGGAATTATTTTATTTTTATATCTGCTGGAAACAATAATTATGAGCTGCCAGTGTTAAAGATTTCCCCCCTGAAAAACCCCTCCTCTCATAATTATGGTTATTATTTTTTTCCAGGTAAGAAGGAAGAGTAGAAAGCATCAGATGTACTAATATCTAGGCACCTCTTTTTGTGTCCCATCCACTATTTTGTTCTAATTGCTTTTGGGTGATGCTGTGCTGTTTGTAATGTTAAAAGCTCTGTTAGTGATTCTAATGTGCAGCCAGGCATGAGACCCATTGGATAGCACTGTGTTTTAAAATTTGTCACTTTGTAGCCCCAGGTGTGGTTACCGTGGTTTTAGATAAGTAAAAATAAGTGGTTAGAAATATGGGGAGAGAAAACTGGTATTGGCAAGGAGATATGTTGAAGAATTATAGCATGTTCACTTTTGTATTTTGTCTAAGTATCTTTCTTGATTCCTTTAAACTTGCAAAGAATAGTTGCTGTTTATCAGGGACCTGTGATTTCATGTAGAATACGGAGGAGCGTCCTAAGTGGAACATTTCTTTGTGCAGAGGTGACAGGGAAGTTGAGTAGCAGTGTCAAGAGATTCCTTTATGCTTACATGAAAAGATTAGCAAGTCTTATTAAGAGTAAAACACTTTGATTGCTTTTGAGGTGGAAAATAAACCTGGCTGTTGCATCAGTGTTTTCCACATACCTTATGTAATTCTGTGTACCCCAGTCTGGGATACACAGAACTGTGTACCCCTGGTCTCATGGATGGTTTATGAAGGCTTATGTAAGAACTCACGACAAGGCTTTTTGTACTCCATTAAACTCTCCGCTTTGGCTATTACATAATTGACACAGTACTAGATCGTGGAAGCCCAGATAGGGGAGGGGGCACAACTGCAGCCCAGCCTACGCATTTTATAATGAATTGCTGCAGTCAAATTAGAGGGAACAGCAGGGATGGAGGTCTGTGAAAGAGAGATAAGAATAGTATCTGGAGGACTGATGTAATATAAGACTGTTATGCTTAGTGGGTTTCTACAGATTTTAGTGCCGCTGTATAAACCCCTCTAGTCTTTTATATTCCCAGCAAAGGTGAATTGACTGTAAAGCTAATGAATCTTAAGCTTCAAGGCTCCTCACCCAGATGACTTCCAAGCCCCACAGAGGGCACTAGCCGTGTGTCCACGTGGTCACACCTAAGTTTGTATTTGTAATTTTGAATTCTTTTAAAACGAGGACACTCTCCCGACTCTGCCCACATCTCATTATATAAATATAAGCCTCCTAGACCCTTCAATCAGGATGGTCTACAAACTACATTCAAATGTTAACTAATAAAATGGGTTTTAAAAAATTTTAACGTCTATAGTCTTCTGGGAAGACAAAAATAAATCGGCCCATATTGTGCCTGGCCTGCTGAGAAAATGCGGACTGCTGTCACCTAGTAGCTGCGTGGAGCTACTGGGATCAGGTTTTACCTGGAGAACTAACTCTGCAGACACAGGACTTTTTTGATTCGAGTGTGAACTGGAGGCGGAGAGCTGAGCCAGGAATGGGGAAGGGAGAAAAAAGCTGTTTCATATCTCAGAGGAGGGCTGCCACGGGGAGAGGAGAAGAAAATTACCCAAAGATGCTTCATTAGTAAAAAGTTAACAGAAACAGTTAGCATTAGCTTCATAGGAAGTCTTTTTGTAACCTCCTTAGTATCTGTCTCTGATACGAACTTGAAACAGTGAGCACATGCAGGTCTGGCAGATGTCCCGCAGGAAACAAGTGCAGGTTGGGAAGGTCTAGGGTGAGCAGTGGACTTGTTCCCATTAGCAGCTTTTATTGAGTAAACAAGAACCGAATTAGGTTCACCGTGGGAATGTCTGAGGGAGCCATTGAAGAATGGAGGATTTTCCTTTTTTCTCTGAAATGATTTCTACTTACATTTGAATTGGGATGTCTTCAGATCTTATCATTTTGACCCCTTTCCCACCAACCCTTATACCCCATCCATCCATCCATCCATCCACAGAGACTCTCTCCCTGATCAAAGTTTAGTCAGGTTCCTCTGAGCCTTCTTCTTGGCTGGACCTCAACCTTAGCCTATAATAGCCCCGACACTAAGAGACTTGAAAAAACTCTTAGTGGCCTAATAGTCTATGGCCTTGTCCCTGAAATGACCAATCCCCCTTGAGTTCCTGTTTGGAAAATCTCAAATCTGCCAAAATTTATCCTTTGTTATTGCCAACTCCTGATGATAGGACCTTCCCCTTCTTTTATTAAGCATTTATTATAAAAACTTTGAATTGTAATCCTTTCTCTGCCCCTTTGAAATGTGTGTGTATCTCCTACAACCCAGGAATGTCTTTCTGAAGGACTTGACAGTCATTCCTTTAAAACGCAATCGTTGGGAAGGAAAGGGCCTGTCTCCTAGTCTTTGTGGGAGCCTAGGAGCCTAACCTGGACAGGTGCCAGTTAGCAGACACAGATGACCTAATCACACCAACACTGACTAGCCAGCCTACCTGTTTTTGTAATTTTCCGTTTCCTTGGCTCTGCTTGAGCATTGCTTGTCCCCTCCTTATTCCCTCATTCTTTTTTTAAGATGCCCATTTGCTTCTACATGGATTGATGTTGAGCTAAGTTCTATACTTGAGTTTCTTTCAACTATTGCAGTAAATACTGAATACCATCTGTTTTACTGCCTTTAGTTAGTATCCAGTTTTGTTTTTATTATTATTTTTTTAATCCTCACTCAAGGATATGAGAGGAAGGAGAGAGATAGAGAAAAAGAAAGAGAGAGAAATACCCACATGAGAGAGAAACATCTATTGGTTGCCTTCTGTGCATGCCCCAAACAAGGATGAAGCTCACAACCTAGGTATGTGCCTTGACCAGGAATTGAACCCACTACATTCTGGTGCACAGGATGATGCTCCAAACAACCAACCAACCAACCAACCAACCAAGATGCCCAGCTAGGACCGGCTTTATTTTTTTAACATCCAACAAATACTTTTGAGTGTGTGTGCCAGGCACTGTTTTAGGCATTGGATATTTTAGAGTGGTGAACAAAATAGACAAAAACTGTGCCTGAGGAACTTATAATATAATGGATAAACTGAAGTAGTTAATATACCAGTTAGGGCTAGTTCTAGGGAGAAAAGTAAATCAGAGGGGACGGGGGAAGGAGTACAGGGTGGGGAACTGCTGTGTCAAATAGGGTGCTCAGGGAAGGCCTCCCTGAGAGGGAATGCTGAGCAGAGTCTTGGAGGGGATGATGATGGAGCCTATGGATGCCTGGGGAAGAGCTTTGCACTCCCTGGGAGACAGCCTGTGCAGGGCATGTCAGACCAGGTGAGAGCTTACTGGCACTTAAAAGGAGAGCAGGGAGGCCTGGTGCTTCAGGCAATTGTGGGAGATTTGCATGCTAATGGCCAGTGCTCCCCACAACAGCCCACCCCTGTAATTCTGTTGGGTGTTTCCTGGGTCTGCCCTTGGATACTGCTTTCCAGCGACCTGCGGCTGTGTCAGTGAATGGCGGTGTTGCTCTTGGGGATTTAGGAGGCCTTATGTTGCTAGGTGGGACCAGGTACAACCTAGAGCCTCTTTGGGTGTCTAGAATTCCATCTAGACCATTACATAAACCAGGAGTAGGGAGGAGGTTGTGTGTCTTCAGTGATGATTCCCCTTGGCTTGGAGGAAAGGGGCCACCAGAGAAGTTCCATTTCAGTTGGACTCCCTGATGTCCTCTAGGGACAAATAGAGACTGATGAATAGAGGATGTTGACAGCAGAACTATACTACTCTTTCTTGGAGAAAGTCAAAATGTTGAGAACTTAGATCAACTACTTAGGTGAAACTGAGGCAGAGTGAACCCCATGGCCTGAAAGCATCTGGAGTTAGTTGGGGTTTGAGGAAGGGAAATTGCTCATTGGCTCTTGCAGGCCCAGATGGCTGCCCTGCACCTAACAACCAGACAACACATGTGTGGACCTGGCAGCAGGCTGTCATGGATCCTCAGGGGAGAGGTGAGAAGCCGGTGGGAGCAGCAGCCAGGACCTGTCTGTTGGTAGAAAGGCCTTGCCTTTTGGGCTATTTGGGGCTGGGAGTGTGGAATAGGATGGATAGCTGTTTACTTTTCAAGCCATTAGCTTATAACTGTGTTTATTGCTCATACAGTGGAAGA